GTCCCCAATCCCCCACTGTACCCCATCCCAGCCCCCCCTGTTCCCCAGCATCCCTGACCCCCGCATTGCGCCTCGTCCCAGCCTCCAGTCCGTCCACTGTACCCTGTCCCGACTCCCCCCTGCACCGCTCCCCCCCCCCCCCGCCCCAGTCTTCTTCCATTGCAAGGCAGGCTGTGGCCAGTGTGTGTGTGTGTGTGTGTGTGTGTGTGCACGCATGCGCACAACTGTGTGTTCCCGTGCATGTGTGTGTGTGTCCATTGCTGTGTGTCTGTGTTCACTGTTGTGTGTGTGTCTGTGTGCGTGTGTCCGTGTCTATCCGTGTGTGTGTGTCCGTGTCTATCCGTATGTGTGTCTGTGTGCGTGTGTGTGTGTGTCTATCCGTGGGTATCTGTGTCTATCCATGTGTGTCCGTGTGTGTGTCTGTGTCCGTATGTGTCCATATCTGTCCGTGTGCATCCATGTGTGTCCGTGTGTGCATGTCTGTATGTGTCCATCTCGGTCCGTGTGCGTCCGTGTCTGTGTGCGTCCGTGTGCACCTACACACCTGTACAGGCTGGTACGTTCCCTACACTCCTGCTCCAAGCCCAGCCCCTCGGTAGGGCTGGACGGTTTGTTTCCGAGCTCTGGAGGGTCATGTGCCCGCTCGGCCCCCCAGCCACCCAGGGCAGACGGGTCGGGAACATGGCCCTAGACGCTGGCACATTCCCTCCCGGGGCCCCTTGCTGCCGACGTGGATCTGCCCCGGACCTGCCAGCTCCATCTGCCCCACAGATACCCCCAGGGTGCTGGGCTGTCAGCCCTGACCACCGGCTGCGTGGGCCCGGCCTCAGCGAGGAGGCTGGCGCCGCGGGCGAGGGCGGCTGGTGCGGCCAAGCTCCCCGCTAGCAGATGTACCCCCACCGGTCCATTGGCACACGTTGCCAGGGCCCGCCGGGCAGGGGACGGTTCTGCACCTATGGGCTCAGCCAGAGCGCGGCGTGATTCACAGACAGGCGGGTTTCACTGCTCAGTTGACATGTTATCCACCCGTCCGTCTACCTGTCCACCCGCCCCTCTACCCATCCATCCATCCATCCATCCCACTACCCGTCCATCCATCCACCCGTCTGTCCGTCCATCCGCCCCTTTACCCATCCATCCATCCATCCATCCGCCCCACCACCCGTCCATCCATCCACCCCACCACCCGTCCATCCATCCACCCGTCTGTCCATCCATCCATCCATCCGCCCCACTACCCATCCATCCACCCCACCACCCATCCATCCATCCACCCGTCTGTCCGTCCATCCATACATGCTCCTATTCATCCAACCGTCCACCCGCCCCATTACCTACCCATCCGCCCTTCTACACGTCCCTCCGTCCATCCATCCATCTTTCTACCCATCCATCCATCCATCCATCCATCCATAAGCTACCCGTCCATCCACCCACCTGCCCTGCTACTCATCCACCCTTCTACCCTTTTACCCATCCCTCCACCTGTCCGGCAACCCATCCATCCATCCAGCTACCCATCCATCCATCCACCCTTCCTTCCTTCCATCCATCCATCCATCCCACTACCCGTCCACCCGTCCATCCACCCACCCCTCTACCCGTCCATCCATCCATCCATCCCACTACCCGTCCATCAATCCACCCATGCATCCATCCAATATGTCCACCCTCCCTGCTACCATCCATCCATCCACTCGCCCCTCTACCCATCCATCCATCCACTCATCTACCTGTCCATCCATCCACCCTTCTGCCTGTCCCTCCGTCCACCTGCCTCGCTACCCGTCCCTCTGTCCACCCGCCTCGCTACCCGTCCCTCTGTCCACCTGCTCTACTACCCGTCCCTCCATCCACCTGCCTCGCTACCTGTCCCTCCGTCCCTCTAGCCGTCCCTCCGTCCACCCGCCCCTCTAACCATCCCTCCATCCACCCGCCTCGTTACCCGTCCCTCCGTCCACCCACCCCTCTGCCCATCCATTTGTCCACTTGCCCAGCTATCTGTCCATCCATCCACCTGCCCCTCTACCCGTCCACCCCTCTATCCCTCCAGCCGCACCTCTGCCCTTCCCCCCATTCATCTGTCCATCTGCCTCTCAATCTGTCCATCTGTCCCTCCCTCCATCCGTCCATCTGCCCCTCCCCCTCCCCATCCCTCCCATCCATCTGCCCCTCACGCCCTCTCTCCCTCCTCCTGCCCCTGCCCCTCCCCATCCCCATCCCTCCATCCATCTGCCCCTCCCCCTCCCCATCCCTCCTGGCCCTTGGACCAAGTTACTAGAGGAGAGGGGCCCAGTGGGGAGTCCCGCATTTCCCCCCCCCGGGTCCCCCCTCCCAGCAGCAGCTGACAGGCCGGGAACGGGGGTCACCCTGTGCATCTGGCAGAACCGGCTGCACTAGGGCACCGCTGGGGGGAGGGGGGGCTGAGGTGCAGTCCCGGGGGGGGGGACATGGCAAGCTGGGGCTGGATGCAGACTGCAGTGCGGTCCCCCCCCCGACCCGCTGCCTCTGCAGAGCCAGCGCCAGCCGCTGTCCTCAAAGTCATCCTGAGCTGGGGGGGGAACGG